AATAAAATAAAATAAAATAAAAATGATTCTGTGAAAATGCAAACAGCTCATAACAGAAGTGCAATTAAGTTCTACTTGCATGCAGCCTGCTTAGCATTTAATTAGGAACTGTCTTTTTTTGTGGGACAAAGGACACCATACCCAAAAACTGTCCTTTACCTAATTTCAACTGGTTTTAGCACTTCATAGGTATATGCTAATCTACTGATACAACTAATATCTAAAGCAAAAAAATAAATAAATCAGGAAAGCAGGAAGACTAAATGACAATGTTAGTAATAAAAGCAGTATACGCTTGTAATCAGAAGAACCACCAAATGCCACCAAAATTCTTTGGCTTAGTATATACATTAAGGTATGCTAAACAGAATACACTTTTTAATGCATTTCAAAGTATTAGCACTACATCTGTACAGTTACACAATAAAGAATGGATCTTACAGATGAGGATTTTCTTGATTTAAAGATGGAAGGACTGGAAACGATCTGTTCTTGAAGAGTATAATAATCATTGGGACTTTCAAAAGGATTCAGGATTGTGACTCGTCCTGGAGTTTCTGGTGTTATCTGCATTTTAGTTTCTTTTGTATCACTCATAGCACTAAGCTATACCTTGAAAAGAGAGAAGGAGAGGAAAAATGAAGGAAAAGAAAGTAATTTTTACTTTTTAGGGTAATCCTGAAGGTTTTGGGAAGAAATGATCAACCATTTTTAAGGAGCCAAAAGCATCTAAAAGACTAACAAAGTTAATTTAAAGCTTGGATTTAGTAACATATGAAACTAGTAAGTACGGCAGATATGAAGAACTAAAAATAATCAGAACCGACGAAAAAAATACAAGAAAGAGCACTGAAAAGACATTTTTAAAAAACCCAAACACCCCCTACCCCTCCCAAAAAACCCCAAAACCCTGAAAACAAATAAACAAAAACCCCACTACCAACCGAAACACCAGAAGAAATAAAAAAGACATGAAGCCAAATACACCGCTGGCGGGCAACACGCATACTAAACGCTAGCACTCAAGGTCTTCAGACATAAAGAGGCAACACTGGAACATGGGCATCAAAGGGACGAGGCTTCCCGGGTGCCCCTCAGTGCCAGCCAGCCCTGCCTTACCCACAACTTAAACGACAAGCACAGCAGGAAACGGAGAGCCACGGCGGCGAGAAGGGGCTGCCGGCCAGCCTGCACCGCACAGCCCCAGAAGCTTCTGGGGCTTCTGACTGCAGGCAGCTAACGCCGGGCGGCGGGAAGCAGCCGCGCCAGAGACACACGGCGTTTCCCTTACGGCCGGCAGACGACAACACCCTCAGAAAGGCGTTCGCCCCTTTGCTTGGGCGCTGAAACCTCCTTCCCCTCTACCCCACAACGAGCCAAGGCTAGCCTCCGAGGGGCTGCGGGAGGCGCCACCGCTCTCTCCCGCAACGAATGGGGGAAGAACGGCCAGCAGCTCCCTCACCTAAGACGGCAAAAGGAATAGGAGTTACAGGGAGATATCCCCCCTCAGCCCCCCTGAAAGCGACCCCCTCAGCTACCGGCGCCGCTACCAGGACGCTGCTGCGCCCGCTCATGCTCTCCCCAGATCACAGCGCCCGCCTCCGCCGCGCCGGGCGGCTCTTTAATTAGCCCCGCCCTTTCCCGGGCTCTGCCCAATCACGACGCGTAGTCTCCGCTGCCAAGCCAATGGCAGGGTCCTCCTCGCTCTCGCACGGACCAATCGCCGGGGGAGCCGCTACACAAATTCGAAAGAAATCCTGTCCTCTGCCTTCCTGCTGTTCAGCGGACGGGTTCCGTTTGAGGTGTCACGTGGGGCGAGCGGGGGCGGGAGGATTTGAATGGCAGTAGTGAAGGGAGGGGCCTATAGCAAAGGGAAGGGGGGACGGGACGGGACATGCCGGTCTCCTTCCGGGTGGGAGGTCAAAGCGGCGCGGGGTCGCCATGGCGAGTAATGCCGCCAACCTCAACGCCGTGCGGGAGACGATGGACGGTGCGTGGGCGAGGTGGGAGGGGTTCTGTGTTGGAGGTGGCAGCTCTGGGTCGGCTTTTTTTCTTCCCGATGGGGTCTTAGCCTAGGCTGCCTGCCCTCCCCCCTCTCGGTGGGCTGCGGGGCCTGGAACCGGCTCTTAATTAACTCTTAATTAACTTCTAATTAATACAAGCGCCTCTCCTGCGAAGGAGGAGACAGTGGTTTGAGGATTTAGCGCGTAGCGGTTTCTTTTTGCTTTATGTAGCTCATAATGTCTGGAACGTTTAAAATATGCATGTTGTGCTGGTGACTTTTATTGGGATTTTGATTTTTTTTAACTACCCGTTAAGCATTTAATTTAGAATAACGTTATTTTTAATATTTAGAATTATATACATATATTCTGTATGTACGTATATATGTACACATTTGCGATTCTTTCCTATTATTTGAAATGGTTACTGCAGATTTATGTTATCTGGCTCTATGCATCTTGGAATTAAACTAGAGAGAAGGAAGGGTATGACAGGGAGGGGTAGGACCAACCTTGTGGTGCTGTATGTGGCAGCACCTGAGCCGATCTGCACCTCAAGGTCTTGTTCCTGTGGGCTGCTCGTGTCAGAAAACCGAAATAAATTACTACAAACAAATAAAAACCCACAAAAAAACAAACTCAAAAAACACAGTGAAAAACTCTTTGAGAAGGGTAGTCAGTGTTGCAAAATTAGAATAGTTTCTGATACAAAAAAAATGGTGTTCTTGTGGGATGAGCAGTGTGGGAGAAGTGGCACTGGGAGAAGTGGGAAAGATTTCTGAGATTTATAAGCCATGAAAAATATGAGCAGGATAAAAATAAAGATCAGGTGTTCACTTGCAGCCTGACTGAGGAATCCAAGCTGGCAGTTCAGGAGGTGTTTCTTAGCAATGTGTGGTGTGAAACTCTGGAAGACCATGGAATGACTATGCCAAAACCCCACATGGATTTCAGGCAGAGTGGAAAAGAATCCCCTTAGGGTTGTTAAATATTTTCTGGAAATGCCCTAATGAGGGACTAGAGGTTCGGGGGGGTATTGCTTTGCGTTTGTTATTTCCTCATGATCTTCCCTTGTCTCATAGTTAGGGCTACTGTTCCATAAGGATTCCTTAGCAAAGACATTCATGAGGTCAACTCGTGTAAGAATCAGCATTTGAGACACTGAATCTGCCCGCTCTGACCTGTTGCTTGAGGCAAGGCAGGACTGGCAGATTTATTACAGCTGCACTAATGCTTTAAGACCATTTAAGACCATTCTGTGCTGATGGAGACAGATTTGTTTTGACTTCTTGTAAATGTACTTGATACCTCCCCTCTCTCCACTTTTGCAGGAATGTTTTAGATAGGAGGGAAGATTTTTGGATTTAAAGACAAACTAAAGATTACTAGAACTTCTATAGAAAGTGTACTAGCCTTAAGATTTAGGAGCCCAGGCTTCCCATGTAACAACGTGTGTATTTTATTTAGGATAGACATTAATAATTTAATCTCTTCCTGAGGTCAGGTGTTTTTAGAAGAAACAAAATTTTGATTAACTTAAAAATACTCTTGATTTTTAAAGATTTACTTAAACAGAGTCTTTGAAATACCCTCATTTTTTAACTTTTGCTGCTCTCAATAAATAATTTTGGGTTTTTACTCTTCAAAATAATTTTAATCTTTTGAGATTTCCATTATAAGAATATTTATTGAAAGTGCTTTGATGAAGTAACTGAAAATGTAAAAGTGTCCATGTAATTAAATTTTGCTTGATGAAGGCCCATTGTAATGAGTAGGAAAAAGATATTTGCAGGATATTTTTTTTGACCTTCTAAAATAGAATATGAAATCTGTGTTGTCTTAACTTACTGCTTAAGAAATAGGCACCTCCTGGAAGTAAATGGGTTGGTATTAAAGCTTTTTCATATCTTTAGTAGTTTAGAAAAGTAAAATGCTTAATCTGGAATGTCAGATACAAATATTTAGCAGCTATTCTCTGCTGAATTGTTGTTAAGAGCTTAGCTTTTTTTGTGGAGAAACTGCTACATCTCTCTACCAAAGATGCTGCCTCTACACCAAGAGATATTCTCTATTAGAGACTAGTGACTGCAGCTCTTGCTGACATAGGAAATTGGAACTTATCTTTAGTTGGATTTACTGCTTTGTCTTTAAATATGTCACATGCTTATTAAATTTTATAAACTTGAAATGGTTAAAGAAAGCAAGAATTGCTTATTCCTGGGCAGTTGTCACTCTGCCTTAGCTGTAGCTTGCTTTCTGTAGCTGTTCAGTTTCAATGGGACTTTACTGCAAGTGCATCAACCTGTGGACAGGGTGTTGCCTGTGCACTGCATTTGGGACAGTTTGCTTTTAAGACAGTGGGGACAGAAAGCCTTGTGGAGGAGAGGAAAGCTCCCCTTGTGCCTTGTAGCTAGGCCTTTGGTCTGACAAACTGCTTTCACGTCTCAAACTTGTGCATGTTGTTAGTCCAGCCTGTCTGGCGGGTGGGCTTCAAGAGTATTACTGCTCTTAGAGGGGGTTTTTTGCAGCATCTGACATTTCTCTGTGACTTCAGTGGAATTGACTGGATGCATTAGGCCTTTAATGTCATGACTTGGGTAAGTGTGACTCTGAGGGTGTGCTCCGGCATGTCTTTATACTGCAGTAGTATACTTTCATAACTGTCAGGTGGACAGTAGTCACTTGCCATGCTGGTTTTACACGGTAAGAAAGATGTTCTACTTCTCTTTTCTCATATCTTGGGAGAGGTTTGATTGCAGAAACAATGTGAATAACATCTGTACCAAATCAATCTGTATTGCTAGGGGCTTAGCCTCAGAATGCAGATTTCTGTAGCAACCAGAAATAAAATATCAGTACGTTGTTCTGTTACATGTAGAACAAAAAAAAGGGGCCTAGCAGGGAAGGTTTGGAGTCAGGTATGTTTGTTTCAGCACAAAGTTCCCTGGAATTTCATTCTACAAAATGTTTAACACGCTCTACTGTAGAGGTTAAATGTTGATGAATAATATTTTTTATCACTGAAATGTCATAATCTGTAAACACTAAAGTGCTTTCATTTTTACTGTTGCAGTTCTGTTTGAGATTTCAAGAATATTAAACACTGGCCTGGATATGGAGACATTATCTATCTGTGTGCGTCTTTGTGAACAGGGGATAAATCCAGAAGCATTATCATCTGTTATTAAAGAACTGCGTAAGGCCACAGAAGCTCTAAAGGTAATGCTTTTGCTTAAAAAGCTTATAAATTTGTTATTAAGAGTCAGATCTATGTTCAACTTGCTATACTTCAGTTTGTAAATTGTACTTTAGGATGCAACTCATTTTTAAATCAAGGAAATGAACTGTTCCATAGAAAAGGCAATGAATACAACTGAATGGAACATGAAGTAAGAAATGGTACAAAAATATTTTAATAAACAATTAGATTAATTCTGTTGAAAAAAACCAACCAAATTATTCTGGGCATTTGTTAGCCACCGTTGACCCCCTTATCTGCATCATATCACAACTAGCTTGCTACTTTCTCTTTTAACCCATATTACCTCATTTCTGCAACCTCAGGCCTAATCGTGTGCAGTGGTACTTATGAACAGGTCCATGCAGCTTGCTCCTGCAGTTTTCACATGTTGCTTTTACCACATTAACCTGTGTTTTGACTCTTTCCAAAGACAAACAGGAGGGGATTTCATCATACTTATATGTAGGGCTTTTCATAATTTAGCATTTACCTGTTTAGCTAGTAGAGAAGGCAACTATGGTTTAAAATAAATCTTCACTTGCCTTTTAAAGGATTTTCATTCTTTACTGCCTACCTAATCACTGTGATTTGTTTTCCGCTGTATCTTGTATTTGTGGTTTGTTGGGGTTTTTTTCTGGAGAGGTGGGTACCTATATCTAGACTGCCTATCTCTGTTACGGGAGACTGCATTCTGATTCTTTGAAAACTTGACTTACAGACTTTGTCTAGGTGGATGCTAGTCAGGGCTGGTCTTTACCAGTTTTCAAAACTATTTTACTCTATTTTTAACTTAACATTTTTCTATACTCACAGATTTTATATTTGTGTAAATGTTTGTGTGCATACACATATATTTAACTATATGTATTTAAGTAATTGAGGGCTGTTTTATTTCTTCCTTTGCTTTTACTGGTTTATCATTCCCATTGCTATCCTTTACCTTCTTGTCCTATAACTGGCTTAAAATTTACCAATGTCAGTCTCCAACAACTGTCCCTAGTTGGATGGGTTGAGTTACTCGGTAATAAAAATGCTTACTGATGACCATGATCAAGTAATTTGCAGTGTGATTTATGCAGTTATGATTAGTGTCACTCTTCTAAGTTTTGTGTCAATAACTTATCTGTATGAGTGAAAGTAATAATTACTATAAATTGTATAAAGAAGTAAACTCCAAAGGAAAAAAAGAATTCATGCATTTGAGCACTTCTTGGAAGCATTAGGGTAAAAGGTACAGGAAATCCTGCACCTGGGAAGCTGCAATCCTCGTTACCAATACACGCTAGGAGATGATGTGCTGGAAAGCAGCCCTGAGGAAAAGGACTTGAGGGTCCTGGTGGATGAGAAGCTGAACATGAGCCACCAATGTGCATCTGCACCCAGAAGGCGAACTGCATCCTGGGCCGCATCACAAGAAGTGTGGCCAGCAGATCTAGGGAGGTGATTCTGCCCCTTTACTCTGCTCTGGTGAGACTCCACCTGGAGTACTGCGTCCAGCTTTGTGTCCAGCACAAAAAGGACATTGAAGTGCTGGAGCAGGTCCAGAGGAGGGCCACAAAGATGACCAAAGGGCTGGAGCACCTCTCCTACAAAGATAGGCTGAGAGAGTTGGGGTTGTTCTGCCTGGAGAAGAGAAGGCTTCGGTGGGACCTTACAGCGACCTTCCAATACCTGAAAGGTGCCTAAGAAAGCTGGGGAAGAGCTGTTCACTAGGATGTGTAGTGATAGGATGAGGGGTAATGGTTTTAAACTAGATAAGGGTAGATTTAGTTTGGATATTAGGAAAACGTTATTCAATACAAGAGTGATAGATCACCGGAACAGGTTGCCCGGAGAGGTGGTGGAGGCCCCGTCCCTGGAGATATTCAAGGTCAGGCTTGATGGGGCTCTGAGCAACCTGATCTGGTAACATTGTCCCTGCTCACTGCAAGGGGGTTGGACTGGATGAGCTTTAAAGGTCCCTTCCAACTTAATACATTCTGATTCTATATGCAGTTTAGCACAAGCAAACAGTAATGGGTATATTAATAAAGGCTAATGGCAGTTGACAGCATTATTTTAAAAAAAAAATAGAACTATACATTAGAGAAGAACAGTACACACTTTATAATTTTTAGAAGTAGCTTATTTTTAGGCTTTTAAGTTCTCTAGGTAAATTAAAATAGTTACAAGAAAAGATTAAATTTGTGGTGTCTGTTTTCATGACTTGCAGTAAATGTTTTTTCTTTTTCTAGGCTGCTGAAAATATGACAGGCTGACATGGGAAAAGATTTCTGCATGAGAAGAATGCCAAGTTAAAGTTAACAGAGGCCACTATTCAGAAAAAAAGTGTAATAAGTGTGTGTGCGCGAAGGCTTCGGAATATTTCTGTAATCTTGAAAAATATAATGTATATAATACCTTTGGAAAGTTTTTTTAAAAGATATGTTCACCAGTAATCTAATTACTTGGTGGTTTTGTGAGCTATTTGTGAATATATTGCAATTGCTCCTCTTTGGCATCCAGTATTTTTTTAAGCTATGTCAGATACTGCACACTTGCTGAACTTACTAGTGTGTAGCAACAGATATTGTTATGAGTATAGCTTGTTAATGCATCCTTGAAGTGGTAATATATGCTAGTTTTTATCTCTTGCCTTGAAAAACTACATGTACAATTTTAGTTTTGCTTTATGGACCAGATAGGAATGAAGCCCATGCTGACTTTATTTTAATTAGAGTAAGGGTAGTGACTGAGACCTCAACTCTGACAGTAGGAAATAAAACACTTTTGATAATGTACATAATGAATTATCTTGTTGATTCAAATTGCTAGAAAAAGTGTTTTTAACTTCTACAACGAAGGAACTTGTTATCCATGCAGAAATATATGTAAATTTAAATTCTAGATATTAAGGAATATTTTTTCAGAGTTCAGATGCCAAGTTTGCTGCATTTGTTCTGACTAATAGACCTAAAAATATTAAGGCTATATTGTTTCTTCCTAGCCAAAGCATATATGAGAAGCATTGGAATTTTTTTACGGGAATCAATGAGTCTTAAAAAGTCGTTTGGTGTAGGAATGTCTTCTTATTCAGCACTAGGAGTCTTCACTGATGCCAGAACAAGTGTTTATGGTATATACAGTAAACTATCATGTTACTTTCCAGTAAATATCCTTGCATCCAGGAATTCTGCTTCATAAGAAAATAGTTTCTTGTGTATTCTTCATCTGCTGCTGTTCAAGCTTTTTCAGTTCTTTGTTAGCATGGTTTCAAGGTGTAGTGTTAATGAGACCCAATGTAACCTCCAAGGTTAATAGGATGGAGCATATTTGGAAGTGAACCTGGAGTCATAGTTAAGCCAAACTTTGTATTTGTGTGGAGAAAAAAAAGTTTTTTCTACTTTAAAAGTTTACATTGTGTGCACTTTAGATCAGAGCTCTACAAAAAGCCATTAAGGAGGCTAAATACTATATACCGCTGGCAGAGAGAATAGTAAAATGTATTACACTGAATCACTTGCCATTATTTCCAATTAGCCTGGCAAAAAAAAAATCATTCCAGGAGGATGCTGCGAAAACTTCTGGATAACCAAGTTGGGGGACTTCATTTTGCTTACTCATGAACACATTAAATCTTTTGAAAATTACTGTTGTAACTTCAGATTTGTGACTTTTGCATACAGGGAATAATGTTTTTTGAAAGCATTAAAGCATCACTAGTATGAAAAGATATTGACAATGAAATTGATTTTAGGAAATCTGAAAGAGTCAGCAAAACATCATGAAAACACCAGGTCAGATAAACATGAGTTGGGAAGTAGCTTTTTTACTTACTTTTATCCAGATTCAGTGCTGCATCTCAAAAATGAGAAAAGACTGAGGAGCATTTTTGCTGTTTTCAGGAGTCACATCTAAATCTGTGAGGTCTGACTTGTGAAACTTAAACTCTGAAAGTTTTCCATAAATGTAGCAAATGTGCCCTAAATTATCATGAAATCCTATTGGAGTGCATGTTTCTGCTGGTGCTTTTTCTTTTCCTCCATTGCCAGTTCTTTGGGCAATATGGGAATTCTGATGACTTTGCTTGAATGTCACTGTGTTGATTACTTTCCATTTATGTATTTCCAGAGGTTTTTTTTTATCCTAATAGTTTGATTTCAGTTGTGGTTCTATGTTCTTGAAATGCTTAAAACCAGCTTGCAAATGCAATATGCAATTATATATAATTCTTGATCTGTCCAGTAAGTTGCATCTACCATTTTACTATCGATAAAGTTATTGCTTTTATGCACATAGACGTTTGCTGATAAACCACTTGTCATGCAGAATTATAGAAGCAGGCCATGTTTTTGATGTTCAAAGCCCCAATTTGATGTATCTAAAAACTAAAAATACATAATTTTCATTATTACATGAAACTAAAAGGTCACATTCACTATACTTAATAGTTCATATTTACAAAATGAAATGCAAACCTTAAGGTTTAGCATATTAGGACTGAAAGCAGGGAGGACGTGATGGTTCTTAAAACTGCCCTATCTGTGGTTATCTAGAAAGTCTATATACTTTACCTCAGCATACTTGGCAAATTTTCTTTCAAAATGCCCCATGGAGCAAATGTGCTTAGGAATTGGTATAACAGCACTCCTGCCTGCTTACCATCCAGAACAAATACAGGGAATATTGTTTTCTTCCTCCTGGTAAGAAAAAAAGAATCCCTCCAGTAGGGAGGGAAACTGGATATGTTTCTTTGCCATAAAATAAGTCTATCACTTTATTAATATCTCTAATACGTGAACGTAAGTGCTCAGACCTAGCATTGAGGGCTGAGAAGCCTTGGCTGCATTTGTAGCATGCACCACCTTCTACTATGTTTAACTGTAAGAATCTAAGGAAGCAGTATGTGCTTCTCCTCCGTGCTTGCTACTTGCATACTCTTGGAACTCTTGAAAACTCAAACGTAGGAATAGCTATACAGGTCCTGACCAGAGGTTTTTCTAACACAATAGCCTCTTTTGCAGTCAAAAGCAGATGCTTGAGGAAAGAACAATGCAGGCATGTTTGGTTACTTTCCTTCTGCATTCTTGCAGTTTCCAAGTGTCTTCTATTCCAGGCTTTCCTGAACATCATCTGGTTTGTCTATTTAGTAATCCGCAAAGCTTCCTTTTCCAGTACTTGTCCAGTTTCCCTTGGACTATATACGCTTCCTGAATAGCAGCAGCCTTTAGCAATTCATGTCTGTTGCATGAAGAGTTGCTACTTCTCGTTTATTTTGAACCTGTTTTTTTCCTAGCTTAATGTTCCCTGCACAGTAGACCTTTACTGATCATAGTAGTGCCAGTCATGATTCTGCAAATGTATGACATATTCACCTTTAAATTTCCTCTTTACTAGACTGAATTGTGTTAGTTAACTTATCCCTTGGCTGACTAAAGGCATAGAATAGCTTTGGTATTTATTGTCCCCTTTAGGCTCCTTTATTGACCCTTTTCTGGGTCTTGTACATTATTTTCTGAGAAAAGAATCAAAACTGCAGGCAGCATTAGTCATGTAGTTAAGCATTGGCCTGTTAGTTTACTCTCTTGTTCTTTATTCCTTTCCTAGTAATTTCTAATACTTGACTTTAAATTTCAACTGAGCACTGAGCTGGTTTTATGTCATTATCGTAACTGCAGGATCTCGCTCTTGAGTGGTAATAATAAGCTCAGAGGCTACCGTTTCATACATGAAACTACAGTGGTTTACCTCCATGTATCTGTACTGAATTGCATCTGCCATTTTCTTTCTGAATCAGTCTTAGATGTCTTTCTGCATTTCTTCACAGCTTGCCAGTAATCTTACTGCCCTCGCTAAATTGATCGTTGGCAAACTTTGTTGCTTTGTCCCTTTTTTGAGGTTAATTATGAATAGGTCAAACAGCACATGACCTAGCAATCATTAATCCAGTCCTGCAGAGCATAACTTTCAGGACCACTGACATTTGTAATTATATAATTACATTTTAGAAATATAAACTTAAGCAACAGAATAACTTTACAGGAGATTGTAGAGTACTAGAACAAAAAGACAGACATGTGAACCTTAAGCCTCTATGTTAACATCAGGGAGTTTTGGTTAACCAAAAAGTCTGTTAATGAAAAATAAATTAAAAAATTATAATTAGGCCCAGACACTTAACCTAATAGAACTGTCTCTGTGAGAAGTGTATGTATTTTTGTCAGCTAATGTTCTTTTCCCACCTGGTGGTCTCCAGCTAAGCAAATACTGGTTCAGTACTTGCTTTATTGAGTCAATCATCTAATTTCCTCTGAGCTGAACTTCAGTGTTGTTGTGGGCACTCTTTACTTCAGGGACTGCTCCCAGCGGGCTGTACCAGCCTGAGTCCTTCCATTCTTCCCCAACACTTTTCACTTTCAAACATTCCCATCTACTTTTACATGCTTATAGTTTCATGCTATAGAACCCTGCAGCCCTCATTATGTGAGTATACTTTGAGTTAAAAGACAAAGCACAAAAAATGCTGATAGCCTAAGAATCAGCAGTGACCCATGACAAAATGCTGTGTGGTGTCTGTAGACAACTTGCTTTAAAGACAGCTAACACTGAACAGAGGGGCTTTACATTACTGTGCACAATCTGAGCTAAGTCCTTTGGCATGCCTTTAGTAGTGGAGATTCAAATCTTTGAATCACAAATACTACTTTTAATTAAAATTTGGAAAGCAGAATTCCAAAGAATGAAAAGTGTGCCAAAGTAATTCCAACCTTTAAAAGAGCGGGGGTGGTAGCAGAATTGAGGACCAGCCACCCAGCATCAGCACTAGCAAACAGTGAACTGGTGAACTCGGGATTTTATCAGCAAAGAATGAAAGACTGAATTCCTTTTAAACATTGTTTGGTGGAAATGTGAGTGGGCTATGTTTTTAATTATTATTTATGGGTTTACATGTGAGATGTTGATGTAGTATGCTTCAATTTATGCAGGATAATTTTCACTTAAAATCCAACATTGGCATCATTTAGTAGAAGCACAGATGTACTCTGTTGTTACCTGTTTTGCTGTCTTGTTACCTTGGGAGTGAAGTTTTGGAAAAAAAAACCAAAAAAACAAAAAAAAAACAAACAAAACAAACATTAAAAATATAGAAATCAAGATCTCAGTTCTTGAAAAATAATACATCGAGAAGGATTTTTGAAGCACTATAAACAGTTCCTTCACTGTGAGCGTTTGGTGAAGTTGTAGGAAGAGTTCCTGTTAGAAACAGAAAATAGGTTTA